TCGTACAATACTTGTCGCGACTCGACATTATAAATCAAGAGGTCAGACAATTTTCGATTCGATGAATCGTGTATATATTGAAACAGGAACGTATCGATGATCACATTGGAGAAAATTTTGCCTTCGAAATTTCATCGTGAAGTAAAATTGGACGCACGTGGACGAGGAAGACCGGGTTTATCTCACTAAATTTCTCAAGGATGAAGATTCTCAAGAATGAAGATTCTTTTGTGTTGCATGATTTTTAAACGAATCATGAGTCATCGTTTGAAGATAAACCATGAGTGATCAGGCTCGAAATAAGGATAGTAAGACTCCCTGTGAAGCTTCATTTTCGAGAAAATCGAATTCGGAAACGTCTCGTTCCATTCTATTACACTGTGACGTGACATCGGAAATAAAATTAGAATGCACAGTGCAGACACCTTAATTGATTTGCAACGACATCTAAATTCGAAACTGAAGCAATTCATAACGAAGATGGAGCAATAGTTGCTAGTTCTAATTTCGAAAAGCTTTCAATCAGCTTGCGTTTAACGAACTTGCGTTTAACGCCTAATATTTCACTGACAATTATTCACTTATTTATTTATTCATTTTTCACGAAAGAAAGAAACACCCGTTAGTACAAAAAGTGATGCAATTGATATGAAAATTTTTTAAATGAAACGAGGTGCGAGACTGAGTGAAAAAATTTTAAGCAGACACTAAGCAACTGAGCGTGACAAAAGATGGAAATGAAATGGTTAGAAACATCGATCAAACAACGTGCATTATCAGCGTTATTAATGAATATATACGGGTTGATAGAAGCCATATTATAAAGATCAGTTTCTATCACTGCTTTTATCAATAATTTACCAACTTACAATAATGAACATGGCATCGTCGCAAAGAACAAAGTCATTCATTGCAGTTCGTTGTTGATTGCAATTCCAATAAACAAACACGCCACACGCGCCAGTCTCGATCGCGTGTTCGACGAGACAGGGTGGTGAATTTTCGCGGCCAACTTGGCTGCTTGTTCTGGGAACGTGTTCTCCCACCTCTTGGTTGAGGGAAGCTTGAATTCAGTGTTGCACGGAACGGCCTTGGACGGTAGCCGATAACCGGACGAGTCGCGGATGAGCTGGTGGTAGCTGCAGCACTTCACGGGTGCAAACGCCGCGGGTTTAACACGCGCGTGCTCTTGCACACGGATTATTCTCACACGTGTTCCGCCGTGTAGAAAACAGAGAGCCGTGGTTCGCAGGCTCGGGGGCAGACTGGTTTGCCCAGTAACCTCGCGGCACAGACCGCTGAGAATCTCGTGAGAGGATGCACAACGCTCGAAAACGAACCGCGGAGGGGAACCGCATTCCTTTCGCGACGTTTCAACCTACTACTCCTCGCTCGACTTTCCTCTTCCTCTCCGGGCCTCGTTGAAAGCGACAGTCCGGATGACGCTCGTCGAGGAAGCTCTCCTCGAGATCGCGCGACTGGTTTGTACCGGTGCACAAACTCTTGCTCCTTGTCCCGCGATGCGACAGCCTCGCGGACAGGATCTCTCTTTTAAACTTTTTCTGCAGAGTTCCTCCCCTGTCTCTTTGTTTCTTTTTCTTTATCGTTTCTTTTGTAGGATTCTAAAGTTTCGCGCTTGTCGTTCTTGGAGAGTTCAAGTTGATTACGGGGATCGATTCATTGGACGACTGTTTTTACACTAATTAATGGGACGACACATTTTAAATCAGATGATAATTTATCACGATGTTTATTACGAACACTTCTCGAGCTTTTTCTTCTTTTCGTGTAAATGCAAATGTTTTTAGCCAATCCAATTAGAATTTCTCTTCTGAATCACAAGGGTAGGAAAGTAGAATTCGATGGCGTAGATTGATTTCAAAAAGTTACAGGTAGAAATAGTTAGAAAAATTATAAATAGAATACATTTTAAATTATTAAGGGTCAGATAACAGTTTTCTTTTAAATTTTTCAAATTTGGAAGAAATAATGATAAAAAGAAAAAAAAAATATTAAGTCAGTCTTTAGAATTTTTTTTTATTAATCACAGCGTCGAACAACGGGATTCGACAAGGTATATCGATTTTAAAAAATTGCAAATGAAATAGTTGAGGCAAGTGAGATTTTCGATCTTCCCACCTTTCGATTATACCTTCTCAACTTATAATTAAAAATGGCATAATTTGAAAGATTTGTGTTAAACTTTGTAACATTTATACAACCTCGACGATATTTTGAATTCTATTATCTTCCTTGGGAAGCTTGGAAGATTCACGTTTCAATTAGTCGAATGTTTTATTAACGGGCAACCCTGAAAACTTAATAACACTCCTCCTTTAATAAGATTTCCAATCCCATCGTCCGTTCTGAATAGTGACGTAATTCAAAAAAACCTACGTTCTAACCAATCACAATTTTTAATTATGTCAAAAATTTCAGAACTTTACCATCAAATTTCTAGTTTCTTCAAGAAAATTTTATAAATATTACGACATAAAATATAAAAATGTCACGGGTTATCTTGATCCTTTGACAAAAAAAAAAAAAAAAAATTACAAATTCCTGCTTTGCACAAGATCATATTCTACCATTCTGTTGTCTCAGTTCTAAAAAAAAAAAAAGAAAAGGAAAAATTGCACGGCTTTGCGCAAGATTGCAAAGCTATAAAATGCTTCGTTGTTCTGATTCTTAAAAAAAAAAAAAAAAAAATTGTTGCTTGAGATCTCAAGAAAGAGAAAGAGGAGAAAGAATCACAAGCGTCTGCCGGATCGGAATCCGTGAAACACAATAGGGTAGGAAGCGAGCGTATTCCCTTGGAGGGTGAAGACAAATTGAAGTAATGAACCGCAATGGTCTAGGTCAAGGTCCTTGGCCTGGGTTTAGCATTGGCATACACGAAATACACCAAGGGGGCCACACCGACAGGCCGCGGTACTGTTTATTCCCTCAAGTGTGCTACGTGTTACATACCGGTGTACCGTGCCAGATTACGGGAGAGGAGTGGCTAAGCAGGAAGGGATCGATGCCATCCTTGGGGACCCAAGACGCTTAATAATCTCACCGAGGATTTTCAACTCCATTTGAGATCGTGCCAGACAATCGGATCTCTCTAACACGCCAGCTTGGAATCAGCCTGGATGGCTCTGATCCTCTGGATAAGAAATTCTCCAAGCGGAACGTATCCTCCTTTCCATCCAATTAATGCCATCGCGTATTTTTAATGCGATTCGTTAATTACATACAGGTATTTATATACTATATGTTAATTATATACTAATTATACAGGGTGTTTCGTAACTTGTGGAACCCACTTCAGGAGCTGATCGTACGCCTAAAAGTAATGAAAAAAAGTCATGTAAATATATGTCCTGTCTGTCTTCGTTTATGAGATACAATGAATTTTATAAACAGAGCAAACTCTAGTAAGCTAGTTTTAAGCCAGGGATGGTACATTCAATTTTCATAATAATCATAATTGGGATGAAGAAAACCCACATGTTATTGTGCATTCAAGACGTCAACACCAGTTTAGTTTANAACGTATGGGCAGGAATAATTGATAAATTTTTAACTGGACCTTTTTCTCTTGATGGGAAACTAACAGGCACAAAGTACGTTGATTTTTTTGAGCACGCGAAATATTAGAGGAAGTTCCAGTCGATATTAGATTATTCGTATGCGGTTTATGCATGATGAAGCTCCGTCGCATTTTAGCCGAGTGGTTAGGCAATTTTTAAATCAACACTTTGCAAATAAATGGATTGGTCGCGGAGGTCCTCTTGCGTGGATTTGAATCCATTAGATTTTCATTTGTGGGGACATTTAAAATCTATTGTATACGCAACATCGATTGAACATGCTGAAATACTACGAAATAGAATAGAGCGAGGCTTCCGACAAATTCGAAACACCAGGAATGATAGAGAGAGTAACCAGATGAATGACAAGACGCGTGCAGGCTTGTCTTCAAATGCAAGGTGGTCATTTCGTGCATCTTTTGTAAAAGTAATTAAAACAGAAAATTCATTAGATCTCACAAACGAAGACAGATAGGACGTATATTTATATGACTTTTTTTCATTATTTTTAGGCGTACAATCAGCTCCCACAACTAGGTAGGTTCCACAACTTATGAAACACCCTGTATACATATTATTTCCCAGGTTTTTTCCCGCCAAACTGCGAGAGCTTATTCCAGGAGGGAAAAAAATGTTATATGGAGTTTGCGAATTAATAATTATATGTCATACTGTGATGTAAGTAGTGGTTCGCCTTGAAATTTCCTCTCTTTTTTTATTACAGGAGGTTTCTTCTTTACGTGTTTTCTCCTTCTATTTCTATGACACCTTTATGTATCAAAGAATTACGTACGTCCCTCAAAAATTCCCGGATGTGTTCTAACTTTTTTGCCGAGCATTTCAACCGATATAAAAAATTGTTTACAACTTCGAAACTATTAATTTTTCCACCCACGTTTTATTAGGAACTTCTCTTCATGCTTCGGCGAGTGCCATCTACCCGAGAAGTTATGAATCCTTTTTTTTTTTTCTATTCACTCTGCGTACAATTAAATTACACGATTACGTTAACACACTATTCCTTTCCATCCTTCCTCCTTCACCTCTACGTGTTACATTTACCAAGCTTTTCAAATATCCCGCCTTGATTCCAGCCGTCACGTCGACGCGCATAACACATAAATCCCCCTCGTCCACATAAATACCCTCTGTTATACAATGTTTGTTCGATGTACACGGTACATTTTATATTCCTCTCTATGAATAAATTTCTCCCTCGTAGCGGGTGATTTTATTATTTATTTTACGAAGACGTTAACCGTAAATGTCAGAGGCAACTGTTTCGAAGAACTCGAGCTCGATACTCGAAAATGTGTATGAACAACGTTGTTCAGAGTGTCATACAACACACACACACACGCACACACACACACACACACACACAAACACACGAGAGGAGATGGAGAGCGTGTGTGTACTTACCATAGAAACGACAGGAGGCGGAGGATTTCCGTTCCTAAGTGCCCCGGTTTGTTGGTTCGCCGCGGGATTCAGATTGTCCTTGGATTGCTGCATGGGATCCGGCTGATGAAGCGTTTGTTGCGTTTGCTGTTGCGGTTGTTGCTGGTGCTGTTGCAGCCCTCCTATTCCAGCCTGTGGACTGCCTAAGCCTGCTGGCGCGCTGTCCGGCGTGCTCACTTGCCGGGCGATCTTCCGATAACTCTGAAACGCACAAGTTTAATCTCCCGTCAGACAGAGGTGCGCGGATATTATCCATCCGGTCGAAAAGAAAAAAAA